TAAAAATCAATTTAAGTCATCACGTGCCAAGCACGTGACGAGCTCTCGCTGGAAAACTGGTCGCCGACGAGAAAAATGACATTGTTGGTAAGTTGAATCAATTAAAATACCTTAAAGCAGGTTTGCCTAATTAAAATATTTTTTTGGTAAATGAGGTGGAATTAAAATACCAATATGGGTATTTAGCCATTCGGCTTCTCTAGGTTTTTTTGTCATCCATGCATTGCGTGCACCGAAATATCAATTAATTGGAGGAAAAACTCCCCATGAAGAGCTTTGCTATAGGGACCCAAAATATGAGACCAGCAATGGGGACTGGTGAGGTGTCTCCCTCCTATTACATAATGAGCTGGCCATCATTAATGATGACCAGCTCATTATGTAATAAGATGGGGACACGTCACTTGTCTCCCCTGTTGATCTCATATTTTGAATCCTTATAGCAAAGTTCTAATTAAAGTATTAAATTTTATCATTATTTTTACTTGTATGAGTATAGCTCCTATAAATTTACGCAAAGTGAATGCTTTGTCTACCCATTCTTTATGTCTGCGGATGTGCGATAAACATTAAGATTGTTTGAGATGAGTATCTTGATGTTGTTAGAAATCAACACACACCTAAAACCAAATCCGACGGTGCAAAAAGTTGATGGACAGATTTTATAAGCATACCTTAATTTTATTTTATTTTTGTTTTTTGTTCGAGTAATCGAACCAGATGTCCAAGATTTAATTAGAACAGAGAGATGTTGGATTTAATCTAATAAATCTAATTGTGGGCACATATGATTAATCAATGTGTATTGCTATCTTTCAGAATAACCCACTAAAGTGATTAATTAATTTGGGTTAATGGGTATTTAAATAAGTCATGGGGTTATATGTGCAGATACCAGGTTGTAATTGTGATTTGTTGAGGGGTCAAATTACAAATGTACAACATCTATAAATAAGGGGTTATGGTCCATAATCTAGGATTAGATTTTCTAATTCTCTTCACCCCCATCTAGAGAGAAATTCGGCTATAGAGAAAACCCTAAGGTTAGAAGATCCAAAACTCACCTCAGGTTCATCTATGGATTCAAGTATAAGCTTCCGTTCTTTATGATTATTGTTAATCTCTTCGAATTAATCATGGTTTTATGGTTTTAGATCTCAAGTTTTTATTAGATCTAACAAGAGATACTACGTAAAGAGGATAAGGAGAAGAGTGAGATGTAAACGATGATTAACTTGTAAGAAAAAGCATGAGACTGACTAATCTAGATTAATCCCGAATCAAAAGGCGTCACGCCGTTCGAAGATGTTCGTTTACTACGGCGAACGGCGATATCCATTTTGCTTTCCTTTTTTAGAAAACAAAATTGCTGTGGGAAAATAACTCTTAATTAAGCAAGATTCCCATCTGAGCTAAGCTCATTTTGTATTTTGTTAACTGCGTACCAATTTCGCCTTCGATTCTTACAGAGTTGTGAATCTCTGAATCTAACAGAGAATCTTTGGAACTACCGCATGTTATGTCATCATTCTTGTTGTTCTTATCCATATGGTTTTAAGAAAGATGATCTTAGACGCATAATTTATAATTAACAGTTATCTTTATTCTTTTGAATTAATCATAATTTATATATCGCGTTGTTCTTAGTTGGATCTGTCTAAATTAAGGAAGGATGTTTGCTTTTTGGACTTTGCCACTTTCATTATTTAGTAGTTGCTTGTGTGGGAAAGTAACGTGAAGAGCATATATCCACAGATTTTGGTAGAGGATCGTTATTTAGTAGTTGCTTTGCGCGTGCAACTAATTACAAAGATTTATCTGGATCGAATTCGAATTCAGACTAAACGGAGTTCTAATTTGAATAACATACTATTTCATTCGATTTGGTTCGTTCATCCTTTCTGACCTCATTTTATGTAAACTTGTGCCTTTCTCACCGAAGGCATCCCCAATGTACTCGTCAGATGCGACTAATACCTAAGCCGTTTCCCAAGTGGAGACTATATATAGTTTCAAGAAAAATATTTTAAAGAACCAAAATATGGGATCAAGAGAGGGGACATGTAAGGTGTCCCCTTCCTATTGCATAATGAGCTGGCATGCCAGCTTATTATGCAATAGGCATGCCAGCTCATTATGTAATAGGAAGAGGACATCTTATCTGTCTCTTCTCTTGATCCCATATTTTAGGTCACTGTAATTGTTAGAATTGGGGGTGAAGCCCAAACCTGCAGGCGAGCTTCTCTAGGCGAGGATGAAGCTCAGGCGAGGTCAGCGGCTGCAGGCGGAACTCGAGATCTAGGTGAGGTCTCGACGAAGAGGTGCAGGCGAGATTGATCTCGTGGCGGGTGTGTGCAGGTGAGCTCGTGGCAAGCAGGCGAGCTCAAAGCGGACCAGAGGCGAGCTCGAGAACTTCTTGCAGGCGAGTTCGACGAGAGACAGATGAGCTCGAGTTTGGGGTCTGTAGGCGGAGTCGAGAGCAGGCGAGCTTGAGCTCCTCGCAAGCGAGATCGTCGACAGGCAACGACAGCCTCACATGACCAGCTCATTACGCAATAAAGAGGGGACATCTCATTGTAGGCATGTAAAATTGCTTATAGGTCCCTTTTGCTCAGCTCGGCACAAACCGACGAACCAACGAGGTGTTTAGTTTCGGTTACACACAAAGATCCGGACCTTTTTAAAGATCCGGTTCACAATGAAAGTCAAAACTAAAAGATAAAGGAAAGCCATCTACTAACTTTGTCCTCCTTATTGAACTCCGCGCAACCGAGAATCGCCAAGCTCCCTGCTTTCTCACGCGCTCGCTCCCGCCTTCATGGCCATGGGTCTTTGCGCCTGCGCCGCGGGCTTGTTATGCCGGTGGACCACCGCTGAGATCTAGTATCCGGTCGGCATCTACGCAGTACGACGGGTATATATATTCACCAAGCGAAATAATAGCCGGGGAGATTGTGTTCCCAACGGGAAACAATCGTCCAAGGTCTCGCGGGATGCTAAGACCAAGTTCCTAGAGTCCGGAGTTCGTACGCGTAGATCTGAGATCTGATCCGTCTCGAACACCTGCCTTATTTGACGTTGATTGATGCGACGCACCAGATCTGGAGGGGGGGGGGGGGGGGGTTGTGTCAGTCCTCGAAGTCCAAAGCTTGAAAGCCCGGCTGGATTGGAGACTCAGAACCAAACAAGATTCAAGCTTTGGGACTTCGAGGACTTGCACATCCAGATCTGGTGCTCGGCGATCATCAACGTCAAATAAGGCAGGTGTTCGAGAGGATCAGATCTCAGATCTACGCGTACGAACTCCGGATCTAGGCTTGGTCTTAGATCCCGAGACTTGGACGATTGTTTCCTTGGTGAAACAATCCTCCCCGGCTATTATTTCCTTGGTGAAATAATACCCGTCGTACTGCGTAGATCCGACCGGATCTAGATCGCGCGGTGGTCCACGGCAAACAACCCCGGCGCAGGCAAAGAACCCACAAAGCGAGCGACCGCAAAACAGGAGCTCGTGATTCGTTCGACAAACAAGGAAACAAAGTTGTAATTTTCATTTATTTTCAATTTGATTTTCGTTGTAACCGGATCTATAAAAGACCGGATCTTTGTAATCCAAGATGACAATTATCTCATTAATGAAGAAAGCAACAGTTTTCCCCGCGAACAA